TCTTTATCACAGATTAACAGAAGCATTGATGACAACTTTCAAACGGCGCATGCGCTTCCAGCTGCTGTGTTTCCAGGTTGATATGGAGGAACTATGACCACGTTGCAGTTCACAGTCTTCTTGTCTTCTAGAAGTTTGCATAGATTTTGTAAGGCAAAAGAAAAGATTGGAACCTAGCGAGGCTTCCGCCTGTCCCCCTTACTCACTGAAAGGTAGAGGCTCATAAATGGCCCACAATATTTGGTTAAATCTAGTTAATCTTAATGGCCCAGATCAATAACTCGATCTTAAAAATTGTAAATTAACATAGTGATTGTTCATCAAACGACAGCTTGAACAACCATGGTTTCTTTGCTTAATATTGAGTAGTAAATATACGAGTAGTCATACCAACATGAAGGAGTCGTGTGTGCTAATCCGTTGGGTTTCTGGCATCAGTATTATAATGGTCAAACAGGACCATGTTTGAAATAAATCTTGGGTCAAATACATGTATTGTTTGCATATGTCCTTGCAGTTAATGGTCTTAGAGAAACAAAGATAATTGATGCACTGTTCAGAAACGCGATGGAACACTTTATTGTTGCATTTTTTTTTTTCATTTAGAAAACTTGCTTTCGTGTTTTTTCTTTCATAATAAAGAAAACTCGTTTTTTACAGCAGTTGAAGGCGTGAAACGGAGCGGCCACCGCGCACATCTTTGCAAAATTCTTTGGTACAATAGGTCAGTTTTACAAAAAAAACTGTGATGGTATCAATATGTCTAATCAATGCCGAATACCAGACGTAAAATAGGCCAATATCAAATCATCTTTATCGTACCCCTAGTCACCCTGGCACGAGCTACAAAGGTGATAAGTTTGTAACATGTGATTCCATCAGCATTACTCTTTCACGCACTTCCACTCTTTATTCATTATCCCATTAGCTACAAACTCTGCTGCTTGCCGGGAAGTCGAAACTAAGAAAGACAGACAACCACCCTTGCAGTTATTCGCAGTTATTCATAAATTTTGATACATTGAGAGAACACTTAAAGAAAATTACTAAAATTCAAATTAATTGTAATAAAATATTGTAAGATATGGTGACTAGTGGTCACAGAAACTTGTTGATTGGGTTATAATACCTAATAAAAGAATTGTAAAAAAATATAAATGCTCCAAGGTCCTACCTTAGAATTGTTTTGTTTTTCTTTTGTGCTTTTTTACAATGCGAAAAAATATGGGCATGATTAGCGCACCATTCATGAGCTTAAAGGCAACAATAATGCCGCCGACAATGAACTGATCTCTCAATTTTGTTTCCCTAACTCCCTAAACAACCTGAAGGCAAACAGCGACACAATATCCTGTTTGCACAGTTCAAATCTTTTCCTTTTCAACGTTCGAACTATAGACCGCACTTCTACTGAGAGGAAAGGGTTAATTTCTTGAAAACGAGTACCATGGCATTTCAGTTTTTCGATTCTTTTGAATTTAGTAAGAACTTCTTTTCTGTGTAATAAACATAGAGCAATCATACCTACTGTAGAATAAGATATATTACCAAATTTCAAGGAATTGACGACTATTTAAGAGGTGCTGCTGCTTTTGAACGAGAATTCTAACCAGTCAAAAGTGCCTGACCATTTCAAACTGGTCTAGTTGCCACCGGGTACACAGCTAAACGGTTTATATAAATTTCTGAGAAACTCGACTCGGGTGAAACATTTTCTTCGGAAAAGCGCTAGGATCATTTTAACTTGATGACAGGTTATCGTTGACCATTGCCCAACGTCATAATCCCTCTGCAACTCTTAGCGATCAAGCTAAGACACTAGAGGAGGAACATTGAGATTGGTTAACTTCACCTAGTAACAAGCAGGCATTTTCATTACATAATACTGAAGCAATGTTTACTGTCTTGGCACTTGCATAGAGGGTCTCTAGAATCAGAGTTGAGGACCAGTTTAGCTAGAAAAAGATGTTGAATACGTTAACACACCATGACTTGTAAAACTCTGCGCTAATTTTGAAATCTAAGTTGTCTTTGTTTTGTTTTGAAAAAAAAAAATTCCACCACAAAAAGGGAAGAAACATCTTTCTCTTTAACCTATGTGGATCGAGAAACGTAGGCTTTAATGTAGTTTAACTCTGAGTTACGTTGAACAGACAGTACGAGTTTAGAGGAACAGTTTCAACCGTTTAAGCAGTTACACGACTGCTCAGTTCTGTTAGTGTCAACTTTCCACTTATCCTCAGTCCTTAGTACGTCTCTGACTCACGCCCACTGATCCAGGTCATCCGATGTTAGGCTCTTCATTGCTTTGGAGGTTATCGCTTGAATCTTGCGGCCAACTTGTTTCATGTTAAAACTTCCAGACATTAAAACTTCCAGACAAAAGCTTGCAGTTACTGAGTGCTTCATCGGAGAGATCTTCAGCGACGGCTTTTAAGGGAGGCAACATTGTCTCAATATCTGGTAACTGCCCATTTGCTTCATCTGCCATCATTTTCGCTCGTGCTGTCGTCATATTCACAAGAAATGTGCAACTTTTAATGGGTACACTAAGGTTTGCTAATCGCTTCCGTGATTCTTTGATTTCGGCCTTTTTGGCTCTGAGCAATTCAAGTTCTTGACTTTCCTGTATCTTTCTTTGACCTCCTTCTGCAGTCTCGTTTATGAGATTAGAAAGCTCGTCTTCTTTGTTGTCGATCCTTCCTTTGATATGAGCCACTCTAGATGACGCTTCATTAATGGCTTGTTCAGCGTTAGAAACATTATGGCTTCCGGCAGCATAACCTGCAGCAACACCAGCGACGGCTCCGAAAGGTCCAAAAAGCAATAGTCCGACAGCACCACTCACAAACGTTCCACCTGTGCGATCTTTTTCAGCCTTTTCTAGTTGTCTATTCCTTTCTCTTAGGGACTCTCGTGCTGTTTCTAGTTTTGACTCTTCGTTGTTTAGTTGTTGCTTCGCTTCATCGTACTCCTGTTGCAATACTTTTATGTTTTCCCGTAATTTGGCCAAATGTTGTTCAGTTTGATGGAAACGATCAGCTATAGATTTCTGTTGTACCAGAACATTCTGAAGCTCATTTTCCGCCTCGCTATTTATTTTGTCCATTGCAGAATCAGCTAAACAAAAGTGTTCATAAGCACTCTTTGCGGACTTAAGGAGACCAACCTTTAAACGTTGAGCAGCACGTGCACTGAGTTCGCTTGGAATTGGGGCTGAATCCAAAATCTGAACGAAATTTTCTAACGAAATGAAGCCATTTCTTAAGTGGGGAGAGACGAGTTCCTCTACTTTGTCGGCAGCATCTAGACAAAACGAAATTAAAGAAGGTAAGTTTTAATTTGATTTACTTAAACGTTTAAAACAGGATTTTCAGTTTTTTTTATTTAACAACAAGAAATTGAGAATTTTTAAGAAGTGTTCTTGAGTTGACATCGACATAACGCGTGACAATAAGATGGAAGCCTTGCAATGGAATCCTTTCGAATATTTTTTTAATTGTCAGTTATTTGTGTATTGTTGTTTTCTCCTTTTTTCTCCTACTTGGGGTGTGATTTTTCCGTTCGTTTTTATGCTCTGCACGGCTGATTCTTCTAATGGGCAAAATATTAAATACGTCATTTTCATCTATTCTGAGTGATTAAAATGCCTTCTAAAATGCTCAGCCGGCACCTTCCTGTCCTTGCAAACATCAGTTGGGGTGGATTATGTTTTCTGGCCATATGCGAAGTGACTGAGTTAAACCCAGCGAGGAAAACAAACCACTCTTGTTATTGATACAATCCTGGTCAGCGAATTTACGTATCACCGAAATTTCAAGCCAGCTGGTAGTGAATTTCTTGACACGATAAGGATTTAAGTACATACACGAACTAAAAGACAAGCAAGGGAACGCACTGGATGCTGTTAATCGTTCTAAGCTAAGACCCATGTCTTCTTTTGATGACGCGAAAATTGATGTTGATTACGTGGACAATGAAGGCGTTCAAAGCATTGTATTCTGTCTCGGAAAAGAATGGGCAAGATCAAAACCCAAGCCAAGAAACCCCTGGATGGGAAGCAAGTCTATTGGATGGCCAGCCACGACCTTTCTGTCAGGTTTTGCTGATAGCTCAGTGACCAGTATCCATTAAACCTTCTGGGTGGAGAAAGAAATTCTGAGAGCAAGGTATCGTGCCCAAGAACACAACATAATGTCCGACGTGGCCAGGGCTCGAACCTAGTCCTTGACCCGAAGTCCATCCTGCTAACCGCTGGCCACCGCGTCTCCCACTCAGTGGACTAAGAATAATACCGGGACATTGAATCAAATACACGGTTGTCAAGGCGCTCAACTAAGATGATACTTTGACGACCTAAACTATTCCTGTAGCTCATTCTGCACTGAACCTGAAAGACATTTTGGCGAGATGTCGTCTGATATGTATATAAGAAAATTGATGACATTTCTATGAAGGAGTTTATAAGTGGTATGTTGGCAGTAGGGTACTCGCTTTTCACCTGTTTTCTTCCTGGGATTGGCATTAGCACATTGGTTACAGAGGTCGTCTTCACATTCGAGGCAATGCCACGGCCAGTTTTCATTTGGGTTATTGAACGTAGAATCGCAATTATTACATCCCCAACTTCCACTGGACTTTGGGTAGACATCCACTGCGCATGCTCTGAGCAATATATGCTGGTGCAGGCTAGTGATGTGCTTGAAACAGTCACGGCAAACATCAAAATTGCATTCTCCACAATGACGAGAATACCTGGAAAGTAAGGAAGAACCAAAATTATTAACATGAAGAAAGACTAGCCTTTCGAAACACATGAAGCAAAGCCCTAAGTGGATATAAAGACGTTTGAGTATGATATATAGTTGCTACTCTTATACATTCCAGAGAAATCACAAAAATTACGATTGCATCCAAATGTGTGAAATGTTTTGAGCAAAGGGTTAATAATACGGCTTATTAGAGCAAGTTGTGGCATTTAA